ACTGGGCTATCAAAATTCCGCCAACCTGGCAAGCTAGAGGCCTACTTCGCCAACCTGGTGACCTACTTCCACCGACCTGGTGATCTGCCTCCATCGATCGAATTCAGATATTTATTGAATCGAATCAGGTCATATCCGAATTCGAATCTGATTAACTATTCAATATGAACAGAATGAAAACCAATAGTAATAAAACGAAATGAACCTAATTGTCCAGATCTCAGAAATACGAAGGATGATCAGATATGGTTCAAATGAGAACCAGTCTGATACATATAACTCTACTTCTATTGATCAAAATAAGCAAACAAATACATAAAATATCTAATTACCTCCTTGAGTAGCCATAACCATGAAATTGATTTCTTGTTTGATGAGAGATCCAACCGATTCAGTGATCCTGCATCCACGTTCTTGATCAACAAAGAATAGATCTCTGGTATGCCCTCTATGCACAAATATGGAGTTTTTTTTTTCAACTATTTTTTTCTCTTTCTCCTCTCAAGTCTAATCCCTTTAGAGCGTTCACGTGCAAGAAAAGTGATAGGGGGCCTTCTTGAACATTCCCCTATGAATAAGCTCATTAGCTAGACTCAAGGAGAAAACTTTCCTTTCATTTTTTCCCACCTCTTAATTAGTTTATCCTATCAATGAGCTTTCCAATTTAGTTGAGAAAAAATCTCTCCAAATCCCATCACCTCTCCTAAATTTTCTCCACCATTCAATTAAATTTAAAATTTAAAATCAAATTTAAACACACCCCTACAATAATGGGATGATTGTGGGAGGTTTCCAACTCGTTCTCAACAAGCTAACCCTGGGATCCTTAAAATGGTATTGACCTAGATTATGGCCACTATTGAGGGCCACAATCTGAGTCGTTCTTAGATAGAATATTCGAATTCAACCGATTAGATATTTAAATTACCTAGATTCAATTTTATCAAATATCGAATTCAAAATCAAAATTTCAAATACTGTTGACACCCCTAGTCCTGATGCATGGGACTTTATTTAATTCATGGTGGGATCAAACATTAATTTGTAGGCTTTGACACTTTGACACCATCTTGTGGTTTTAGCACAGTACTGGAACATATCATGTTCAGTTCACTGAACTCTCAAACAACGTACTAGACCGTGTTGTTTAATCCAAATCGCCAAAGTTTCTTATCTTCATTGATCACGTCATGTTTTGGACCATTCACTAAAGACCGTTCACTGATGAATCTTTTACTTTTTTATGTGATGTTGAAGCAACTCTCTGATTCCACCTTTTCCCATCATACTCTATACATCACTCAACTGAAGTTTGTCGATGATACAAAAGGGCTTCAGTACTAATGTTGTGGGCAGCAATGGCTCTCCACACAATTTTTCTAATTTATCCTTTTCACCATTTTGTAGTCCTTTACCTTGTAACAGAGGGAAAGATTATAACCTTTGAATCTAAGGGGGATGGTGACTTTTTACGACTACACAAAGGCCTTAATGATAGTTGTACGGAGCAGATAAACAAACTAAACTCAAAGGTTGTTTTATTAGAAATTGAGTTCAAGTAAATCAAAGGTGTTTTATTTTAAGTTCTTGACAAAGATTTTGTAGTTCAGTTCATCAAAAAACTTTGTAATCCTTGCTTGCTTTAAGTTCAATCAAATTAGTGACAATAATTCGGGTCAAATTAAAATTCAAATACGAGGCAAAACTCTCCTACCCAAATAGCCTTTTTTTCTCTCTTTCTTTCTTTCTTTCTTCTTCTTCTTTATTTTTTATTTTTTTAAAGATAGTTTAAGTTTAAAGAATAAAGGTCAATGGCTAACTGCTACAAACTAAAGGACAAGGAGGGTGTTGAACTAGCTAGCAAGGCAATTTCCGTCCCATGAAAACTACATTTTGCCCTCTATCATTTTACAATTGAAAATTTAAGCTAGCAATAGTAAACTTCAGTGGAAACAGATTAATTATTACACGAGGTGAAGTAAGGAAAGAAAAAACAAAACATCAACTAATTTTTTTTTTTATTCAAATACTAGTGTGTTATTATTTCATTGGGCTTTACTTCAACTTTAGGCTATGTTTGGTTTGAAGGAAAAGGTGAGGAAAGGAAAGGAAAGGTTTGTAATGGTTTCCCTACATTTCCTTTCCTTTCCCTACTTTTTCCTTCAAACCAAACACAGCCTTAGGGCCGTAGTAGCTGCGAACTCTTATAGCAAGGCTTGTAGCATGAGTGCATGACCGACAGTCCTTTTTGAAGAAAATTAGAAAAAACAAGTGAGGTACCCTACTTTAATGAATTTTCAAGGGCTATGTACACTATTTAAGTTTGTTCAAGCCAATAACCATCAACTAAAACCCCTTTTCGGTGATGTTTGGTATTGTGGCCATTTATTTAATAAATGTTTTGTACTTGATTTATTTTAAAAACCAAGAAAGTGATTGATAAACCTTACCTTGGTGTGTTTGATAGCTAGACGCCATTAGACATTATATAATCTGAATAGTAAATAAACGATTGGGTGTTGAGAGAAACATTAAAAATGGGATGAGAACTAACATTTTGGAATAAATGTCTATGGGAAGATGAACTAACATTATTTTTTAAATAAATGGCTACAAAACCAAACACTATGAAAGTGAATTTCCCCTCTGAGTTGAATGATTTAAACACAATAAGTAAAAGGCCATAAAACACATTCAAATGGATTGCATGATTCAAAACACTGGTTTTTAATTTGAAGACAATGAAGCTCAGTTTTTTATCCCCAAACCCAGAACATTGTTATATATACTAGTGGTAGTGAAATAGAAAAATGACATTTGGTTTAGGGCTGTCAACGGGTCAATTTTAGGTAGAACCGATCTTGAATCAATTATTTAATTGGGATAAAATTATAGACCTAATTATATTCAAATAATAATACTAAATTACTTTTATGTTAATAAGTTAATAATCATTTTTAACTAATATTATGTTATTTATTATCTATAAATTTACTATTTTAAACATAAAACATGATAAGAATTACAAGAAATTTAAAAACATATATTTCCATAAAATAACTGGCTTCGGATCTTAATCAATTTTAGATAGGTAAGAACAAAAAACCAACCTACCCAATTATTAATCGAGACAAGATCATGGAATCATAACTGTTATAATCATGTTCAATCAATTTAGCTTCATCAGGTAAACCCAACCCATTGGTTCAGACCTGGTTTTTCTTAAGTAAACTAATATTTGTATAATAATTTATTAAATAAATTAAAATAAGCAAATGAATAAATAAAAGTTTATTGAGATGGGACTAGTATAGGCTATCTCGAATTAGACCCAACCCATTGGTAGCCCTAAATATTGGGCTCAAGGGGAGAGAATAATATGCTAGTAAATGATATTTAAATATATAAATAATTTAGTAAAATAAATAAATAAATAATTATTAAAATCTTTCTCTCAATGTCAAATGTCCTTTATTTTACCAATTTATAGATAATTTATTTAGTTTTATTAAATAAATAAATGCTTAGATAATAATAATAATAAAATAAATGAATGAATAAATAAAAGTTGAGAGAGAATAGGAGGAGAGAGAATCCAGTGAGGGAGAAAGGAATTTTATTTTATAGGATGGCATAATCATAAATAATTATATGTGACACTCCTATAATTTTCGAATGCCGTAAAGTTGATTACATTAGAAGTTTTGTCTTATATGAGGCAATCTTGTAATTTTCAAATATCATAGAGGCAATTACATAGTGAGTAAAGAGAGAGTAAATTTTTCTTATATGTATCACTCCTATAATTTTCAAATGTCATAGAATCAATTACATTAGAAGGTTTGTCTTATATGTGGCAGTTTTGTTATTTTCGAATATCATAGAATCAATTAGATAATGAGGTAAAGAGAGTAAATTTGTCTTATATGTGACACTTTTGTAATTTTGGAATACTTTAAAATCAATTTAGTAGGGTGGTTTGTCTTTATGTGTCATTCCTGTAATTTCTTAAAGTCATTTTTGTAGTTTCGTGGTCTTTGTATGTGAGATATCATTTCTTAGAAGGAATATGCATCACTGACACCCATTTTATTATTAGGATATATATATATATATATATATATATATATATATGTAGATTTTTGGGGTTTTAACTGTTCAATCCACCCCTAGAAATCTTAGCTCCACCCTAGAGGTGGAATGAACCCTGACCGTGGATTAATGCCAAATCCACAAGCAGAATGTGGCTGTAATTTCAGATTTATGAGGAAGAGTACACTCAGTACAGTCTACTTATCCCTAGGTTTTTGTTTGGTATTGGGATTTTTGGACTGCAATCCCCCTTAGAAATCTGTTTTACAGCCCCTCCTAATCTACTAGTATCCCCCCTATAAACCACATTCTACCCTTGAATTTAACGTCAATCCACGGGCAGGATTCAGTCCACCCCTAGGAAATCCTAGCTCCACCTAGGAGTAGGCTGAATCATAAAAACCCCAGTATTGGGATTTTCTTGCCACAAGTACCTCATAATTGCAATGAGGCTCCATCAGGATTTAAGTTGAAGGCTTTAATTTTGTGGTTTTAGAATAGCGGTAAAATATGTCATGTGGACTAAGCTCTCAAAACTGCTAACCTGTGTTGTTTTATCCAAACAAACCGCCAAAGTCTTTTATTCCGGTCCTTATCTTCATTGATTACTCAAGTTTTGGACCATTCAATAATAATATACATGAATCTTTTATTTGTGCATGTGATGCTACCGTGGATTCTTACATCATCCTCTATACGTCACTCAACCCAAATCTGATTAACTGAACTGATTTTTTTATTGTAATTGGTCGCACTAGCTTGTAACATGAGTGCAGACCAATCTTTGATGAATTTTCATTGGTTAGTGTGTGCTATTTAAGTTTGTTGGAAGCTATCAACATCCTTCAATCTAAAGTTCTAAACCATATCTTTCTCTCTCTCTGTCTTGCAAGTTTAGAGTTTAGACAATGGCGGAGAACCTGCAGATTGTTCAGCCGAATGGAGACTTATTAAGAGAATCGCGGGACGCCATGTTGGTGGTTGCTACACTTATCGCTACTGTGACCTTTCAAGCCGGAGTCAACCCTCCAGGTGGTGTTTGGCAGGAAAGCACAAAAACACATGAAGCTGGAAAGTCTATCATGGGTTATGACAAAAATGGATACAGGCTATTCCTTTTTGGTAACACTCTAGGTTTTTCAATTGCTTGCAATATCATTATTTACTTGATACCGAACACCCCATTAAGGAATCTAAAGGTGATGGTGTACATTGCCATATTTTCATTGACCTTCACTTATGGTGTTTCAGTTGCTGCTATTACGCCTGAAACGTCTGTGAATTTAAGCTTGTTCTTGATTTTCATTGGCGTACCTTACTTAATCACGTATGTGCTGGAACGTTACTACAACTAATGCAAGAATATTGAAGAGAACTACTAGAGTTTGTACCAAAAACTATGTTTCTTGCTGCTTCTCAACTTTAAATTCTCTATTCAGTTGTATTATTTTTTCCCTTAGCTATTTGGTTTAAGTTATCTACTAGCTTTTCTTTTCCTTTTTCATTTTTTGTAAAGATCTACTGGCTATCTAGACGTAGTGGCAAATATATATGCCTCTACTCTAGCTAGGTTGTTTCTAAATAATTCCGAATGTGTAACCTATTTTTATCTCAACTTGTGTAATTTTTCCTATGAAATGTTAAGGTCTCAGTCAAAATTTTTACTTGAAAGTTGATCACTGATAGTTTCCATCCATGCTTGCTGATGAATTGAATCACTTATTGATTTGTCTTTTAGTGGTTAAAATAATTAAATAATAAAATATTTAAGGTTGTATTACTCTACCTAACTTAAGATGCAGCATTAAGGAATTTTCAACTTGCACTTTATGCTTAGCCTTCTTTGCACTTTTTACTATTTTTTCCAGCGTTCTAACTTAAGCATCAGAGTATTCCCACCGGGCAAGTCCCCCGGGAGTCTTTCACCGTCTTTTTCTCAGATACCGTCTGTCGCCAGTTAGGAGCCAGTCAACTACCAACTAGGAGTGCCCGAATTGTGCAGCATCACACTAACCAATGAAAACTCACCAAATTGTGCCATCTCACATTTATTTTATAATTTTTTGTGTTGACTTCTTTTCAAGAAAGTCTGGTTCACGCACATGCAATCACATACATATCAATTATCAAACCAATACAATACATAAATCATACAAGTAAATATAAGATCGGTTTCTCTAGCTCATCTCTTTCATTTTTTTTCTTTTTTTTTTATTTGAGTAAAGTAAATCTGTTTGTCATAGTATTATAGTTTCATGTTAGGCTGAGATTCAACCCATTGTCTTCGCTATTGAGACTCGTCACTTAGACCTCGTTTGCATTTCGATAAGTTATTTATCCGGGTAAATGCATTTATCCAGGTAATTGCTTCTCGGGAAAGATTTAACCAGTTAAGTGTACTTACCCATGTTCTTTTATTTTTCATGTAAATAAGGCTACAACCATTTTATCCATAGAAATCCATTATTACAAGGGGCATTTTTGTCCATTTTAAATATAGGTAACTTTCCCCCAAGGTGGGAAAGTTATTTACCCATCTAAGAGATGGATACCCAAGAAAATAAATTTTCCCTGGTTCCCACATAAATCTGAAAAAAGAACATGAGATTTTTGGTCAATGGGAATCAAAATCCTATTGACCAACTTCCCCCCCTCTCAAAATCCAGAAAAAGAACACCCCCTTGGAGGTAAGATGGTCAAATTCATGCCATAATCCCCCACTATACAAAAATCCGTTGATTTAGTCTTCCCTATTGAGACTCGTCAGTTCAGTATTTGGAAATAGTGCAAATTCAAATATGTACACTATAAATACATATAAAATACAAGGATTTGCACTCTACATATTTGTATTTATATTCCTTCCAAACTGAGCCTTAGAGGCAATATGGCCAAGTTCATGCATAAACCCTCCACTATACAAAAAGCCATTGATTTGGTATACCCAATTGAATCAGGGGGTGTTCACAGGTCAGGCGATTTTGGCTTTGATATAGTAGTGGCAATTTTTGACCCAACCCATATGACCCACCCAACTCATCCATACCCAACCATACATATAAGAACAGGTCAAATATGGGCCGGGTTTCCAATAATTAAATATTATTATAACAATTTTAGAGAATAATTAAGGTCAGTCTATATCTAGAAATTGTTTATCCTGACCTACGTGTTGATATGAATAATATGAAGAAATGTAATTAATTGTAGGACAACCCAAAAACATTGTAGGACAATCCAAAATTGATAATAAAGATTGAGCTCAAATTTTCTACTCACTTTTCCTGTCCAGTCCCTACCCACTCGGAATTGCAGCCACACATCTCTTAATTTATAATAGAGATGTTGACATAGACTTGTAAAATCTAGGTAGCTAACTTCCATCAAGAAAACAGACACAAAAACCTACACTTGCACGGCAAAAAAGACAATGAGGTTGACCTAGACATATGAAGTTTAGGTCAAGCTAACTCTTTTCTTTCATGCAATGACTTGGTTAAACTATATATTTCTACTATAACAATTGAAAGTTTAACCAAGTGTGTCTTTATGAAAAATTATCCCAATGTTTTCATGAACCCCAATAACCACACTTGGTCTCACTTAACTTCTCATGATAAACTTGGTTAAACTATAAATTTGAATTATAGCAATTGAAAGAAATTATCAGTCATGGAAAAAGAGTAATTAAGAAAGACAAGAGAGCTTGACTTAGACTTTGCAAAGCTTCACAACCTATAAATGTATATGAAAACAGACAAAGAGCTTGACCTACCTAGTCTTTTCAACTCATCAACAATTAATGTAGGATATGGGTAAAGGTCCTACTAATTAATTAGGATTTTGTAGTGAATTTTGTGTTGTGAACAAGGGGCTGTGGGGGATTGGAGATGAAGAATATGGATGAAAAAATAAGTAAAGTTGTTGTACACCAAAGGTGAATAAGAAATTGGAAAAAGGGAGGTTAGATCTTTTTGTTAGGGTAAAAAATAAAGAGACAAATCACTTAAAAAGAAAAAAAAATAAGAGAGAGGAGAGAAAAAAGAGGAAACTTCTAGTAACAACCACTACAATTACAATACTAGCTCATAGGTCAACTCCATTTTAAGTCCATTTTAAGTGTTTCTTTGTGGATTATCTGAATTACAATTACAACTACTCTGTCTCAATATCACTCTCAAATAAAAGTATAAAATTTTAACATGGTCATCATCTCACCAACAAGGGCAAGAACCAGTCACGGAGCCCCATCGTTTATTTCCAGGTCAAAGGCAAGAAAAGGTAGAAGCATAAATGAAAGAATAGCTTCTTTTTTGGGTGAAACCAGAACGAAACCCCATAGTTTCCTCTTACTCTCAGATCTAAACCGCATTGAGCCCATTCCATCATTGGATTTAGGGGTGCCAATGGACTGGTTTTGGGCTGGATTCCGTCCAAACCAAAATCAATTTGGACATACTGGATGGACCAATAAGACATTGAATTTGGATAGACTGGATAGACCAGTATGACATATTGGATTGGACCTGCTCCATCCATAATGAATTTATATTGGAATGAGTCAATATCTGGTCCATTGATAGAAGATAAGAACATAGGTGTCAATGGACCAGGATTCAGTTGAAACCAATCTAAATTAACATGAATTTGAATAAATTGGACAGTCTTTAGACCGATCCAAAATGATTCAAAATATTTATTGGACCGGATTGGACTAGGTCCATTTGTAATAGACTCACATTGGACTAAATCAGATTGGACCAAATCCAATCCAATTGGCATCCCTAATCAGATTCACTCACAAATACAGTGTTTCTTTGTGGATAAAGTCAATCCAATGGGTGACTAGCATTTATTTCCAATCTAACTAAACATTCTGCAATTAATCATGTTGAATGGTCATGTGCCTATAGGGGTGCAAGCAAGTCGAGCCTATTCACGAGCTATTCGAGTTTAATTCGCTAAATACTCGAATTCAGCTTGAAGTAATTGAAATCGAGTCGAGTTCGACTCAAATTAAGTATAGTTGGTCGAGTCGAATTTGAGCTCTGCATTACCCGATTCAAGTGGCTCATGAGATTAATCGAGATCATAATAAAATACAATTTTGTTAATATATTTGTTTTTATAATATAAATAATTAAACAATATTTTTTTTGCCATTTATTTATTCATAATATAAATAAATACATTTGTAATTGATTTTCATAATATATTTTTATTTAGACGTCATTTGTTTTGTTTTAAATGAGTTACCCGAGTAAATGCATTTGTCCGGGAAAGTGATTCTTGGAAAACACTTATTTGGATAAGAGTACTTACCAATGTTCTTTTTTCTTTTTCTTTTCTTTATGGGGCTATAGAAATGGGGGTAGACCTGGTGGCAACGGGATTTGATCCTAGGTCTCTGCTTGATGAGTCAGTGATCCTACTAGTTGATCAACCACCATCAGTTGGTACCAGTGTTCTTTCACTCATCAAGTAAAGGTGTAAAAATGACCAATTTATCTTAAAAAGTAAAATTATTGAAGGGACGATGTCGTCTCATCATGTATTAGCAATTTTTGGTGTGCACGGGTAAATAATTTACCCAAGCCTAAGGAGAATTGCATTTAAAAGCAATTCTTACCTAACGCCGTGAACTTCGAGCCAAATTCACGGGTCACACCATGAACTTCCTGTGTTGGGTCAAGACCCCTAGCATGGGGAGTGGGGGGCAATTGATGAAGGGTGATTTGGCCCGACCTCGTAACAGGGGGACACGTGGGCATGACTCAACATAAGTGACAACTCGACAAGACAGCCTGGTCGTAACTCAGCGTGATAAGCTCGCTGGAGCCTAGCCTGACAGCTCAGCACGGGCAGAAGCTCGCTACAAGGTGGTATTCAGGTTACCCCGAGCTCCGCTCCAAGGGGGGGGGGGTGAACCCCAAGCTCACTCCAAGTAAGGAGTCCCGAGCACCTCTTAAGGAGCCCCCAAGCTCCTCCCCAAGAAGGGAACACCTCAATCCAGGATCCCGAACTGAAGACACTCCGGGTAAACACTGTTAGTGCTCCTATCCATACTTGCCTCAAAGGCCCGCCTCGAGCAGAGGCACCCCGACGCATCACTAGCATCTCGGTACAAGGAAGCTCGATGCCAGGTAACTCGGTCCCAAGTAGCTCGGCACATGGTAGCTTGGCAACTTGTAGGAAGATCTGCCTGACAACCGTACTTGACGAATCTGGAGGCTGCGCCCATGTCTCTCGCCAGGCGGCACCATGCCTGCCAACTCTAACAATGCCTCATGCTTGACAGGGCCGTACCCTGTAACGGTTACCTGCGCCCACCACCTCAGGTTTGGCAGTAATGGCT